CAGTGGAACATTGTGAGGTGCAACCCATACAATGCCTTCTGGTTGTCATTGGAGTAGCCGTTGTTGTTGTAGCCTCGCGTGCAAGGTGCAAACCCTGTAAAAGTGAATCTTATGCAAGTCGTGTTCTAAAATTGCACAATCAGACTGTCAAGGAGGTTGGCCAAGCTGCGATTGGTTGCATCAGCTGCATGAAACAAAGGCTCAGATGCTCCGTAGAAAATGAGTCCAATGGCCACTCCAGCACACCAAACCATGGCCAAGTATGTCAAATCACTGTACTCTGGCTCCTCGTCATCCTGGAAGCACAGCCATTGGTTCTCATGCAGCCAAATTCATTCAATCTTGCCGGCCCGCACAGCTCTCAGGCGCGGTGCAAGTCAAGAAGAAACAAAGAACTAAGAACCCTTTCAATCCCAGATATGTCCTTTCCAAGCTTCATATCACCATAGTAGTAGACAAGCGGAAAGAGATACAGCATCCAGTAGTCCTGGACAATTCGGGGGCAATGAAAAAGCAAAGCTATTGAAGTGTGAGCACGTCAAAACAAGCGGACACAAACGATGTCCTGAGAGCCAATGTAGAGCCATGTGAAAGTGTTTGTTACCCATGTCTTCCACTCGCCGAAGACATCATTCGATTCATCGTCCGTCACACAGTAGATGACAAAGCCCCACAGGCAAACAGCAGAGAGGAAGGATACCACCGGGTTGAATCGGACTGAACCTGTGTCGTGAAGGATTTGCAGAGAAAACATACGAGACAAAGTATAGAAATGTCTTTTGACATCTGGGCGCATGCAGCTTGTGCTCTAATCATGTTTGACTTAAGACTTCAAATGCCTCGCTTGCGCCAAGCAACAGAAGTTCACCTCTCTGGTCCCATGCGGTCCTGACCCGTACCCTTTCTCGTATTCTTCCACCTGGCATCTGAAGAAACAACGGGAGCTGTGCAAGCTGTCTGCAAAGCCCTTGCACTCTCAAGACTCTAGACCTTCTTGCAATCTTTCAGAGGCACCTCAGCCACCTCAACCATCAGAGTGAAAGGTGAACCCGCAGATTCAGATGTGATCTTGAGCAAAGTCCAATCAGCTGCACAAACAAGAATGAAACAAACAAGGAACCAACAAGCGGTGCAATCAGCAATGTAAATCTTCAGAAGGCAATGAATGCTAGGTCGCAGCTCATGACACAGGACAGGCAGAAACCGCTCTCCATCAGGGGTTGGCAAGTGCCAAGTGCAGCAGCCAGCAAGTACCGATTTCGAAAACTACACGTCGAAACTCGTTAACTCAGCGAAGGCCGATTCTGTGAACAGGCCTCCCTCTGCGCGCCGCTCTGCCTACGAAAAGGGGCTGTGTACACACAGGTATGTGGCAAAACAGCAGCGTCACACTTATGTAGATTGGAAATGACTGCTGCACGTCCAAGATTCTGCGAAGCACGCAACCTCCTCCTATTCAAGCTCAACATACAAAAGGAAGAAAAATACACATCTGATGGCATCGGATGGCAAAAAGGTTTGAGGGGTTTCTGGCCAGCCCATCCTTCTGGCAAAGAAAAAGGCCTCAGGTCTTTCAGCGATTATGCCAGAATAGACCCCAAATAGCACAACATAGTTGTGGGCAGCGCCCTGCAGCAGTACCAGCAGCCAGCTTCCAAAAATGGACACTGCCATCAACATCCCGCAGCGGCACCAGCACCCAGCGGCACCAGCACCCAGCCTCCAAAGAGCACACTGCCACAGAGATCTAACAGCAGCCTGCAGTGGCACCAACACCCTGCCAAAAGACCCTACAGTGGGATGAGCACTCTGCCAAATGCATCTGGCACCAACACCCACCCCCACCCTGCAGCGGCACCAGCATCCAAAGCTCCAAAGCCCACGGCCATAGAGGTCTTGCAGAGGACACCCTGCAGCGCCAGCACCCAGGCTCCAACGCGCACACATTCACCTCTTCCTACACTTCAAGTAAGAACCCCAGTAGTTCTCGCTATATATCTACGAAAAGACTGACGTGTATTCCTTTTTATGGCATTTGTTCAAACATGTCTGCGCTTCAATTCCAAGACCAACTGTTTCTTGCAAAGCCCACCAGGTCGGCCCCCAAAGCAAGGCGGCAGGAAGTGCTAAAGTCTTCAGCCGGCGCGTGTCCGGACTTCAAGAAACCTATATAGCTCAGCGATGAATTCAACTTCACCAACTCTCGGCATCTCCGTTAGGTGTGTCCTACGCAGTGTGTCCTACCTTTTACACAACCCACGGTTCCTTCACGTGTGCTTCATGCAGCATGTTATTTTTCCCGAGATAGCGAAGCTATGGGTTCTTACTTCAAATAACAGTGAGTTGCCCGTGCGCGCTTTCGAGACAGGTTGCTGGTGCTGGGTGCCGGTGCTGGTGCTGGTGCTGTGAGCTGGCTGTGCACGTGGTGGAGACAGGTTGCTGGTGCCGGTGCTGGTGCTGGGTGCCGGGTGCCGGGTGCCGGTGTTGGTGCTGGTGCTGTGAGCTGGCTGTGCACGCGGTAGAGACAGGTTGCCTGTGCTGGTGCCGGGTGCCGGGTGAGGTTGCTGGTGCTGGTGCTGGTGCTGTGAGCTGGCTGCGCACGTGGTGGAGACAGGTTGCTGGTGCTGGTGCCGGGTGCCGGTGCTGGTGCTGGGTGCCGGGCGCCGGTGCTGGCGCTGGTGCTGTGAGCTGGCTGTGCACGGTGGAGACAGTTGCTGCTTTGCACGTGGCGGAGACAGGTTGCTGGTGCCGGTGCTGGCGCTGGGCGCCGGCCGCTGGCTGTGCACGTGGTGGAGACTTGCTGGCGCTGGTGCCGGGCGCTGGCGCTGGTGCTGGGTGCCGGGGGCGCTCACGTGGTGGAGACAGGTTGCTGGTGCGCCAGGCGCCGGTGCTGGCGCTGGTGCAGTACGCGCGCGCGTGGTGGAGACTGGGCGCCGGCGCTGGGCGCTGGCTGTGCGTGTGGTGGAGACAGGGCGCCGGGCGCTGGTGCTGGGCGCTGGGTATACTGGTGCTGGGCGTGGGCGCCATGAGCTGGCGCGCCGGTGCTCGGTGCTGGTGCCCGCTTCTGACAAAGTGATAACAACCGCCGCTTCTGACAGTGAAGGGTAACAAACCGCCGCTTGCACCAGTGAACGGCGACCAAGCGCCACTTCTGACAATGAAGTGCCAGCAGTCATGGGCCGCATGAACTTATGCACGCAACATCATCATACGGTGTTGTCGCTTGAGCGTTCTTTGTCTATTAGCACTGTGGGGTATTTACACTCTTCAGGTTCTGTTTTGGCCGACAGCTGTGTCAAGGGCTGTACTGTTTGCGCCCATACATATTTTGTACGTACAACGTTCTATGCGCAACGTGAGGCTCTCAACCGACCATTGTTTCAGCATGTTTCAGCATGCTACATACACAATATACACAAGACTGCTTGACCTTGGGCGAGTGAAGCCTACGGGCTTCGCCGTTTGCGCGCATGCTTTTGCGCGCGTAAACTTATACGCGCAAGATCATACGGCCTTATCGTTCTGCAGATCGTTGCTTCAAGCATGCTACAAAGTCAGTAGTGGCGCTGGATACTGCTTGGCCTTGGGCCAATGACTCTTACGGGCTTTGCTGTCTGCGCGGATACTTTTGCGCGCATAAACTTCTACGCGCAAGATCATACGTTGTTGTTATTCCCCAAACAGGGATAGATGCAGCTATGGGGTTCTTGCTGCAAATTACACCACCGTAGACCCCAAACAGTTTGTGTTTTCAAAATCGAAACTAGAGCTTGCGACGTCCAGAGGTGGGAGACAAAGGATTGCAACCGCAGCAGCCCAGAGCTGGGAGACAAATGTAAAGGATTGCAAGGCAGAGACGGACACAGCAGTACAGAGCGGGCGGACACATCTTAAGAAAGAATTGAGAAGCCCTAACAGTAAACCTTTGGGGGAATTATTCTTCAAGTGCGAACATGATGCTGGTCATGCTGACCACGTGAGGACAAGAAATAAAAGCATGAGGAGCGAAGGATGTGACATGAAATTGATTTTTGGTGCCTGACGTATGCCCCCCATCCCAACTGAACAGAGAGGTGGCTGCCACGCCGCCGAAACCCAATCCAGTCATTCATCCGACGCTTGCCCGAAAAGGAAAACAAAGCTGAGTGTTACACAGTGTGGCAGGAATGCAATCCCGGAGACAGTCACGCAACAGGTGAACCTGTTCCAGCCGACAGGGCAGAAAACAGCAGTGCAGGGACCAAACCTGAAAGACAAAAAGAAAGAAATCACATGGGAGACAAATGAATAGAAATGCTACATGGCCAGCGGAAAAGGGCGGCAGCACCAGTGACAGACCCGGGAAACAAATGAATAGACATGCTGCATGGCCAGCGGAAAAGGGCGGACACAAGCAGTAGACCTGGGAAAAAAATGATTAATTAGAAATGCTACATGGCCAGTGGAAATGGGCGGACACCACCACCGACACATCTTAAGAAAGAATTGAAAACCCCTAACAGTAAACTGTTTGGGGCAAAAGTTGGAGACAAATGCAAGGAAGTGGGAGACAAGCCGGCCGGAAACAAGCACCCAGCCTGGGAGACAAATGAAAAGAAGTGGGAAACAAATAAAAGGAAGTGGGAGACAAGCCAGCCGGGAACCCGACCACAAGCACCCAGCCTAAAGGAAGTGGGAGACCGGCCGGGAACCCGACCAGACCATCCAGCACCAAGGGGACCATTCTTTAAAGCATTGAGAACCCCTAACAGTAAACTGTTTGGGGAAAAAGATTGAGCTGGCTGCGCGCGCTTTCGAAATGGTGCTGGTGCTGGTGTTGTAGTCGTGGGCGCTGGTGCTGTGAGCTGGCTGAGCGCGCGTTTAAGACGGGCGGCGGCGCTGGTCGGGTGCTGGCGCCGCTGCCGGTGTTGTCATCTGGCAAAGCGCACCGGTGCTGGTGTCAGCTGGCAAAGCGCACCGGTGCTGGTGTCAGCTGATTGTGCGCGCTGTGGAGGCGCCGTAAGCTGGCTGTGCAGGCTGCGTACATTTTTGTTCCAGCCAGTCGCATGTCAACAGGTTGTGGGATTCTGCCTGGCTATCTGGGTCTATGCTGGTGTTATTCTTCAACAATTCAACAGCCAGGTTCGAGCAAAAAAACATAAATAGGCTAACAGCTACCTTTTTCACCGCAAGGTGAATGTCACGTGCTTCAATCAAGATCACAGAACCACTCGGACAAATTGTACAATATCACATGCTTGTTGGTCCGTGCCCAAGAACTCCCAGTCATCTTGAAGAAATGCCGATTGCTTGGCAACCAATGATCAGCCAGACTGCGTATTCTGTGCGCCGCAGTACACCATGTAACAGCGCAGCAGGGCACAACGTATATGTGCCTCAAGCATGCAGCAATCTCATTCCTCACATCTATCAGTTCAATTCTCGTCGTGAGCAGGGTGATGCGACCAAACAGCATCTGAATAGCAAATCGTCATTTCAAGCGCCGGTCGATAACTGAACAACAATTGCTTCCTCACACAGTTGCTGGCTGGCCAAACACGGAGTGCTCATTCCAAATCGACACCTTGTCCACGAAATGCCTGCGGAAATCAACTCCACCACTGGCCAAAACCTTGCCGAACGAATTCGGTGAGTCCCTAGGGCAATACCCCTTGCACGGTTTGTGCTGTGACAGGCTTCTTGTAGTCTTGAGGAACCGGCGCCTGTTCAATCTGCAACATGATCTGGGCAAGGGCTTGTGGGTAGAGCAGCAGGGCAGCCCAGAAATCCTCCATGCCAGAGCCTTCAATGGAGTAGAGACGTCGAATCTGATGGCGGCCCAAAGCCACAAATCCAGCCATGGAAATGTAGCAAATCCAACCGAAAGACCACAGTCCACGTCCCTCGATGCGCAGCTGCTCTCCCTCATACACAGCGGCAGCAATGTGGAGGGCAACGAAAGCGGTAAAGAGCAGCTGGGTCATCTTGGCCAAGATCATTCTCACCACCATGGGCATTGGTTTCTGCTCATGGGATGCTAGACCGTTCAGTGCCTTGAAGAGAGCATACCCCGGAAAGAGTAGGGCAGTGAAGAAAGCACAAATGCTTTTCTTGGAGGGCATAGGACATCGTCCACAGGTCAGAAGAAACTCCGGGAAATCAACGACCCCACCGTACAAAGGCAAAGCCCAATCTGTTCGCCGGTTGATTGGTGGCATGTCTCCCGCTTCAAGCTTGAGTGCACGCCACAATGCCGTGCACATGACCATGAGGATGAATGTGAAAGGCAAGCCCATCACAATGGAGACAGCTTGGAGCGCTGTCAATGAATCGAATCCTCCAGAAACCAGGCACGCAATTCCAACAGCCCCTTCTGTCAGGGCCCAGAAAATGCGCTGGCTTACATGGGCCTCTCGACCATTTGCGGCGATCAAGTCGACAACCAAAGAGCCGCTGTCAGAGGATGTTATGAAGTACAGTCCTGTTGTCAATATAGACACAAAGTCCATGAAGTTTCCCATGTGGTAGTACTGGTTCATGAGGTCAAACCAGTAGCCAGCTGCATCAGCACTTGCAAAGTTGCAGAGACAGGGCTCACATGTGGGTTCACTTCATATCCTGTGATGTTCGGAAGACTTGAAGGTACATCGTAGCATTTGCCGGCACTCGCCGGACGGAAGGTGAGGTCAGTGTGCAAGAAGTAGTCCCTGTTGCTGTGAAGCTCGCTTCCAAGTTCAGCCAACCATGTTGCACGTCGGTCCATGCGAATGGCAGCTGCCCCGAAGGTGCAAAGCCACATAAAAGCATAGCCGGTGGGAATCGTCAAAGTGTACAGAACAACCTGACGGATCGTGCGACCACGGGAGACACGGGCCATGAAGGTTCCCACAAAGGGTGCCCAAGCAATCCACCAACCCCAGTAGAAGATGGTCCACGAATCCATCCAGGCAGGATTTGCGCCCTTTCCGTCATTCGGCTGCCCATTTCCAACACCCAACTGAGCAAAGGCATCTGTGTCAAAGGATATTGAAATCAAATTCTGGAGATGAAATCCAAACGAGCTTACCATCACATTCAAAAGGTACTGGGTCTCGTCGAGGCAAAATGTCGACAATAGAAGAAAATGTCCAAGCATAAACGCAGCATATGAAACTGACTTGATCCCAAGCTCCAGACCTGCAACCACAGATGCCGTGGTGCAAACAGTAATGATTCCAATTATCCAGGCAGCTGCAGCGGTCAGCTGATCATCAGTCAACTCTTCACCAACAATCTGTCGAGTGCCCAAACCAAGGGAAGTAGTCAATCCAGCCACGATGGTAACGATCGTTACAACATCCAGCAAATCACCTATCCAACCCCAAGTTGCCTTTCCCAGGATCGGAGCCAGTGTGCTGCGGAAGCAAAGGGGCAATCCTTGCCTGTAGGAAAGGATACCCATTGTCAGAGTCACCAAGCTGTAGACGATCCAGGCCAAAAAGCCCCAATGAAACATTGTAATGTGAAAACCATACATGGTCGTCTCATTGTCATTGGAATAGCCATCATTGTTGCGGCCTTACATCGAAAAAATGGTCATGACAGACTGGAAACGCACTGTACATGTCCAAAAGGGGTTCAACTTCGAAAGCGAGTACACCATTTTAAAGTCTAGTGACGATTGGTTCCATCCAAAGCATGAAACAAGGGCTCCGATGCTCCATAGAAAATCAGGCCAATCGCGACTCCAGCGCACCAAACCATTGCCAAATATGCCAAGTCCCCATACTCCGGCTCCTCGTCATCCTGTTCAGGCAAACAGGGACAATTGTGCACAAGCTAGGAACGACTCTGCTCCTAGTAGCACAACATCTCTCCACATGATCGTCCTCTCCAAGCTTAATATCGCCGTAGTAGTAGATGAGAGGTAAGAGATATACGAGCCAGTAGTCCTGTTGGTTCAGGGAAGCAAATCTCGAGGAGCCCGACTGCAAAATATCGAAATCAAACGAGTAATCACATTCAGAAAGCTCCTGTGAAACAATATAAAGCCACGTGAACGTGGTTGTCACCCACCCAGCTCTTCCACTCACCAAAGACAGAGCTAGATTCTGGATCCAAGACAGCGTAGAGAACAAAGCCCCACAAGCATAGAACAGCGAATGAAGAAACAACTGGGTTGAACCGTAGGGAACCTGAGCATGGCCAACACATGCCTCTTGAATGTACACAAATCACCAGTGGAAGGTTCAAGAAGGAAAGAGGTTCCGCTTCTGACCAGTAGCATCTTCGCCAAGGAGCAAAAATTCACCTCCCTCACGCCATGCAGACCTGATCCATAGCCCATTCCATACTCCTGCTAGGAACAAGGACGCTACTAGGGGCTCCTGGCCTTACTACTAGGAACGCTAGGGGCTCCTGGCATTACTACTAGGAATAAGGATGCTACTGGGGGCTCCTGTCCTTTCTACCAGGAACAAGGAAGGTACTGGGGGCTCCTGGCCTTACTACTAGGAACAAGGACGCTACTGGGGGCTCCTGGCCTTACCACTACGAACAAGGATGCTACTAGGGGCTCCTGGCCTTACTACTAGGAACAAGGGCTCTACTAGGGGCTCCTGGCCTTACTACTAGGAACAAGGACGCTACTAGGAGCTGCTGGCTTTACTAGTAGGAACAAG